GGCTCGATCGATAACGCATAATAAACAAGATTACCAATACAAGGGCATGAGGCTCAATATATTCAATAACACATGCAAAATCAACTATCATACAATAAGAAAGTATTTATATATACTACACATAAGTATACATTCGATATAAACTCACAGTGCTTCAATGTGATCAACCGAACGYGGTAATATCAAATTCCGACCAACAATAGAATTTGACCTTCACAATCTCCAAWTAGCCTTAATATAACCCCTGGAGTAAACATTTCAATTATTATTAACAAACTATGAAGTCATCTTAAGTTACACACTTATACACCTTGACTATCCTATCTTCAATTCCCCTGCACAGCCCTCTGTTCAACCCATTTTTCACCACACTTAGACTCATAATTGGCCAATGACATCTAAATACTAAATAAATTATTCTCTTATATCTTTCTAATGCAACTGACCTCGTATTTTTATGATTTTTCTGTGATTTATTATGTATTTTACAACACAACAGCTCAAATCTGTCAAAATTCAGCTTTACAGCACAATACATGTTGCAGTGTTTGCCCATCTTAACTTCAATTTCACATTTTCATGTCCAAATATGAAATGTAGTTCATCTTCTTACCTTTCCATGGACACTGATTTCATATTCATACGATTTTTCTTCTATTTTCTATGAATTTTCTAAATCAGAGTTGTAACCAAACTCTTTTATGACCAATTCACCCATATTATCCATTATAATGTCCAATTCTTTTGTATTTCTACACTATCTTCAGTTTTCATCTCACACATTATATATTCTTGACAAAATTTCAGAAATTTAATCATTAATTAGCATATAATCATGATTTTTTTTCCCATTAATCGTCAATATCACTAACAATGCATAAGCTAGTGGATTTATTACTAATACATGCAATTATTCCAAATTTCTTTCATGATTAGGCTATAATCATCATCAAACAACCTTAGTCTAGCATCATCTTTATATAATACCTTACACGCAAACCCTAACCTTCTTGATTATCTCTAATTACATGGGATAAACTTGAAATTAGAGACATACCTTTGATGATTATCACCTATTCTTCAAGAATCTAAYACTTTAACCTTCAAATCACCAAGAATTGGAAGGTTTAAGCTTCAAGTGTGTGAAAATCGCACCTTCAGTAGACGTGGATGTTGTTTCATAAGAAAAATGGTGAAAATGCATAATTTCTGCCTATTTTTACACTAAAACCCGAGTTGGGTCGGGTTGACCCGGCTGGGTATCCATATTGACCATTAAACACTAAAAATCGCATAACTTTTCGCTCGGAACTCCGTTTTCGATGAGGTTTTCGCCTACGCGTTCGTAACAAG